CAATCCTCCTCATAATTTTTGCATCGTCGGCAAACATTGAGAGGAACGAATCTATACCCTCTGGGAGATCATTTACATATACCAGAAACAGTATAGGTCCGAGGACTGACCCCTGCGGGACTCCACTTGTGACGTCTCGCCAATCTGAGACTTCACCCTCACACAGACTCGTTGTCTCCTGTTGCTTAGGTATTCCTCTATCCACCGGAGTACCTTCCCTCTCACTCCAGCCTGCATCTCCAACTTTCGCACTAGCCTCTTGTGTGGCACTGTATCAAAGGCTTTCTGACAATCCAAAAATATGCAGTCTGCCCACCCTTCTCTTTCTTGCCTTATTTTTGTTGCCTGGTCGTAGAATTCAAGTAACCCTGTGAGGCAGGACCTGCCATCCCTGAACCCATGTTGATGCTGTGTTACAAAGTTCCTTCGCTCCAGATGCTCCACTAGTTTTTTTCGCACAATCTTCTCCATCAGCTTGCATGGTATGCAGGTTAGGGACACTGGCCTGTAGTTCAGTGCCTCCTGTCTATCCCCTTTCTTGTATATCGGGACTACGTTAGCTGCTTTCCAAATATCTGGCAGTTCCCCTGTTGCCAGTGATTTGTTATACACTATGGAGAGTGGTAGGCTCAGTTCTCTTGCTCCTTCCTTTAGAACCCAAGGGGAGATTCCATCTGGGCCTATAGCCTTCGTCACGTCCAACTCTAGTAAACACTTCCTTACTTCCCCACTGGTAATCTCAAACTCTTCCAGTGGTTCCTGGTTAGCTATTCCCTCACTTACCTCTGGAATTTCTCCTTGTTCTAAGGTGAAGACCTCCTGGAATTTCTTATTCAATTCCTCACACACTTCCTTGTCATTTGTAGTGAATCCTTCCGCCCCTATCCTTAATCTCATAACCTGTTCCTTTACTGTTGTTTTTCTCCTAATGTGGCTATGCAACAATTTAGGCTGAGTCTTTGCCTTGCTTGCGATGTCATTTTCGTATTGTCTTTCTGCCTCTCTTCTCATCCTGACATATTCATTCCTGGCATTCTGGTATCTTTCTCTGCTCTCCAGTGTCCTGTTATTCCTATAGTTTCTCCATGCCCTTTTACTTTGCTGCTTAGCTAGCCTACATCTTTGATTAAACCATGGGTTTCTCATCTTCATTTCTCTGTTTTCCTTTTGGACTGGGACAAACTTGTTTGCTGCGTCCTTGCACTTCTGCGTGATGTAATCCATCATATCTTGGGCCGTCTTTCCCCTGAGCTCTGTTTCCCATGCTATATCTGTTAGGAATTTTCTTATCCCCTCATAGTTTCCCTTTCGGTATGCTAACCTTTTGGTTTCGGTATCCCTCCTCGAGTTCAATAACCCTTCTTCAATCAAGTACTCAAACACCAGTACACTGTGGTCGCTCATTCCTACTGGGTCCTCAAAACCGATTTCTCTTATGTCGGAGTCGTTCAGAGTGAAGACTAGGTCGAGTCTCGCTGGTTCGTCATTGCCTCTCATCCTTGTGGGTTCTCCGACATGCTGCGTTAAAAAGTTGCTTGTCACCACCTCCAATAGTTTGGCTCTCCACGTATCCTCGCCTCCATGCGGTTCCTTGTTCTCCCAGTCAATCTTTCCGTGATTGAAGTCGCCCATGATGAGCAGGTGGGATCTATTTCTACAGGCAGCAGAGGCTGCCCTCTCAATTATAGTGTTAACTGCCTTGTTGTTGTTTTCATACTCTTGACTGGGTCTCCTGTCATTTGGTGGAGGGTTGTATATTACTGCTACTACTATTCTTGGTCCTCCCATTGTTATGGTGCCTGCTATGTAGTCTCTGAACTCCTCACAGCCCGGGATGGCCATCTCCTTAAAACTCCATTCCCTTCTCATGAGTAGGGCCACTCCGCCTCCTCCTCTACCTTCCCTCTCTTTCCTTATTACTGTATACTCCTGGGGATGTGTGGAGGCAGTCGTACTGAAGAGGGGAGTTTACCTTGGGCAGTCCACGTACTCTCCGCCTGGTCTTGGAAGAAGACTGAGTAAGCCGCCGTCGATCTACGCAGTATGTTAGCTGCCATATAACGTAGTGTTGGTAACGATCGGCGTACCCGGGAATTAGCTTAGGAGAGTAACGGACGACAGTGAGGTCGTCGAGGTTGTGAAGTGCTGCTAGCTGGTCGCTAGAGGCTTCTGCCAGGGGTTAGCTACCCTTGTATTTGGGCTTCTGCCAGGGGTTAGCTACCCCTGTATTTGGGCTTCTGCCAGGGGTTAGCTACCCCTGTATTTGGGCTTCTGCCAGGGGTTAGCTACCCCTGTGTTAATTTGTGACACCGATCAGCATGTGGCTGAAATTCTCTGCCAGCGAGTGACTGGAGAGTGATGTTGCAACCCGTTCTCGCAAATTTAATAAGTCAATATTGGCTTATTAATATGTGCATAGGTGACATACTTAACATAATAGATACCCTTAAAAAGATTCATAGAAAACACCGACCTTACCTAACCTACTTAGTATGTTAAGATAAGCATCTTATTGCTTCGTAATTACAATTATTACCTAACCTATAATAGGTATAGGTTAAGTAATAATTGTAATTACGAAGCAATAAGATGCTTATCTTAAGATACTAACAAGGTTAGGTAAGGTTGGTGTTTTCTGTGAATCTTTTTAAGGGTATCTATTATGTTTAGTATATCACCTATGCACGTAGTTAATAAGTCAATATTGACTTTACGAATTTGCGAGAACGGGTTGCATAGTGGGGTATAGGCACCTCGTGAAGCTGTGTCGCTGGGCTGGCCTACGTAAAAAGTGAACTCGCCAGTGTTTTCCAGTAGAAGTGGACGAGGTACTGAGCAGTGGAAACACTGAGGATGACGAACACTGCATGTGTGCGCTTTTAGTGTCCTGTGTAAAAGCGACACTACTGTAAATAAATATAGTAATAATCTGTTTATTATATTTTAAATGGATCAGTGTAAATATATTGAAGGAAAAAGTGTATTGTTTATCCCCTCATATATTTATTTATTGCACTATATAGCCAGTTCTTGAAAGCGTACTACCGACTTGGGGTCGGATATCAAGAAAAAGGTTATAACATCAAGAACCCAGTTACTGGTCCATAGTGACTATAACAATAAACCTAAATAAACTATTATTATTTATTACTTATTGTGAAAACCTCCTGAATTCTCTTGTTGAGTTCTTCACACACCTCTGTGTCATTCTCTGTGTACCTGTTCTCATCAATTCTCAGTTTGATCACCTGTTCTTGCAACGTTGTTTTCCTCCTGATGTGGCTGTGGAGCAGTTTTGGGTCGGTCTTGGCTATATTTGTTACGTCATTTTCATAGCCTCTCTGGTTCTCTTCTCACACACTGAGGTATTCATTCCTGGCCCTCTGGTATCCTGGCCCTCTGGTATCCTGGCCCTCTGGTATCCTGGCCCTCTGGTATCCTGGCCCTCTGCTCTCTAGTGTTCTTGTATTCCTGTTGTTCCTCGGCGCCTTTGTATTTAATTGCCTTGCTTCCTCGCATGCCCCATTAAACTATGGATTCCACTTTAACTTTTATTTTTTTTTTTTTAGTTTTGAGCTGGGCGCGTTGTTTTTGACCAAAAAAATTTTGAGCGATGTTTACTGCTTCTGACACTTTTTGTGGTGTAATCAATAATGCCGTCTACAGACTTTACTCAGTTCTATTTACCATGGTATTTCTGTTAGAAATTTTCTCCTGTTACCAGATGCCAAGATTGTTGAATTTCAAAATCCAAATGGAAAAGATTATCACCACAAATTGGGGGATCTTCGACAAGCCTCCGGCTTCCTGTCCTCGTCGAGTCCACTAGTGTTAGTAGTCCTTAGGTAAATTCAGGCAATTCAGGTAGAATCTCAACAAAATTTCACTTTCGATATGTCAGCCCTTTGTTTTCTTGTCCTTTTTTCTTAGATTACCCTAAACTCCACCAAATACTCAAATGTCAGTACACTGTGGTCATTCATTCCCATGGACGTGCTTCCAACTTAACTTCCTTTATGTCCAACTCGTTCACAGCGAATATCAGTTTGAGTCTGACTGGGTTTTCTTCCCTTCTCATTATTGTTGGTCCCTTGACGTGTTGGCTTAGAAAGTTTCTTGTTGCTACGTCCAGTAGTTTAGCTCTCAAGGTACCTGGCCCACTACATGAGTCTCTGTTCTCCCAGTCTATCATCCCTTGGTTGAAGTCTCCCATGATTTACAGTCTGGATTCATTCTTACAAGCAACAGAAACTGTTCTCAATTATATATATATTAATGATAGTCATATTGTTTATATTTTCCCTGGGACTTTCGTTATTTGGTGGGGGCGGGGGGGGGTTATTACACAAATGGACAGATGCATACATAAATAAATGCGAAGATGGATAGTCAGATGGATGGATGCGCCTATTCACCCCATGGTGATTAGGAGGGGCTGAATGGGCTTTCTGAAGTTTCGTGATTTTTTACGATTAATAAGTAATCTTTGACTGTGCATATTTTTACTAAATATTTTTATGTATTCTTAAATGCTCAAAAAAAGTAATTAGAACAAATAAGTAATATTTGAAAATAGGCTGATCGAAGTTCATTGAAATGAGGGAGGATTAAGACTGGCTGTTGACGTCGAATATTATTTCGAGGAAAATTCATCGAAAATTAGGGATGAAGCAAGTGAGCCGTCGAGATTAACAGACAAAGTTCAGTAGGCCAGAAGCCGGCCATCGTCGAGAGTCATCGAAAAAATTATTTGTCGCTACAAGGGTTCCGTCGGGAAAAGTGAAATGCCACTCTTCCACCAACAATTACACTTCTGTAGTCCTTGGACAGTATGGTAGGATGTAGTCATTGGCCAGTATAGGGTGTAGTCTTGGGCTAGGATGGTAGGGTGATTATGTAAACTCCAGTTTTGCTTTTCTATTAACTATTATTAAGCCAACTTACAGCATCTAAAAAAGCAGTTTAACATGTAATTAACTTTGTAAAATAAAACATGGATGTAATTACTGATAACACCAATTTATTTATTTATGCTGGTTAAAGAGTGTTCATATATGATATCTCTAGAGTGTCCGTGAAGGCAGACAAGACCATCTCAGTACTGACTTGACCAGCAGGGATTGACCAAGCTCACAGACTCTCACTGCTCACCTGAACGTTGTACAGTCTTAAGGGAAACTTCTAAACACATTTTAAGGGAAATTTTGCACATTAGCAAAACAAAAAGTTACTAATGTGCAACGCAGAATTTTTTGGTCAAGACATATATGGTTCAAGTGTTATCAACAACCGGAGAAAAGATATTACAACCTCTGTTCAATATTTTGACGCAAGCGAGTGTGTATAACGCATAATACATATTTAACGAGTTAAAAATTCATGTACTTTATAGTATGACATTTGTTACTATGTATTTACCAAAATTTCATGAGATATTCAATTCAAATTAATCTTCTCAGAGATTTTCAATTATTATTTTAAAGATATTAGTATAAATTTAGTAATACAATTAATGCTAAACTGTAAATAGAAATTTTGACAAGGAAATCCAGATATGAGTCATTAATTTGAAAAATGAGTGATTATTGCGCTGGAACAAACTCAGATAAACCTATGAAATATTATAAAATGTGAAATCAAATAAATTACTTTACTGGAAAAGAATGCTTAAAATTACTCATTAAGTCTTACAGCTATGAATATGAAGGAGAACGGTTCAGTGCCGCCCTCGGGGCTACTTCCTCTTGTACTTGAAATGTCGCCTCTCCTCCGTTCTTCAGTCAACTTAGAATGGTTTTCCCTCTAGCTTCACAGTACTGGTGAGTTGGAGTCTGCTTCATCGGCCTTTTATCCATCATGATTGCTCAAGTTGTTATTTCGATATTTCACTGTTGACCGATATGTGAGTACTTCTCCACCTCAAGTGCCTATCCGTAAATGGGTGAAGGCAAAACTGGTGCGCCGTAGCCTGGCTTGGGTGGGGGACAGTAGGTGACGTACTTATCCTGCGTCTTCACGACGGTGATGTACTGGGGCACCACCTGGGTCTTGTAGGCAGTCTGCGTCACGTGCTGAACTGTAGTTACGTACTGCGGAACGTACTGAGTTTGTGTCTGGTAGTGAATCTGGGTGGTGGTAACGTACTGCGTCTGGTAGGCTGTCTGCGTCACGTACTGCGTCTGGTAGGCTGTCTTGGTGATGTACTGAGGGACGACGGACGTCAGGTATTGGGTGACATACTGCGTCTCCGTCACATACTGCAGCTTATAATCTGTCTTGGTGACGTACTGTGGGACGAATTGCGTCTCGTATTGCGTCTTGTACAAGGTCTGGTACTGCGTCTGATAGAGGGTAGTAGGTACTACCTGCGTCTGATAGACAGTGGTGTACACGGGTACCTGCAATACACAAAAATTAGTAATACAGAGTGGCAGAAACATTCTTAGCAAGTTATACATGCCACATTACATAGCTTAAACAAGTTTTCAATAAAATTATTCTCTCTCATATATATATATATATAATATATATATTTATATTTACAGTATATATATATCAACACTCACTTTTGTTAGACACTTAACACTTGCTCCAGTAACGAATATTGACGTATTACTAGTTAGTGAACTGTGAGGTTAACTGACCTGGTTGATCTTTGTCACTACCTGGGTGACATATTTAGTGTGGGGTTGGCAGAGGGAAGGTTGTGGGCCGTATCTCGGGGCTCGCGGAGCTCCATAAATTGGGGGCAGTTCGGCCAAACACAGCCCCAGTTGCACCACCAACACAAGTCCCAGGATCATCTGAAAGAATAAGGTGCATTGAGTTATGTAAATTATCTGAGGAAAATACCTGTGGTAATTTACTCTCTTTAGTTCGAGTTAAATTTTTTAACAGGTATGTTGGTGATGGAAATCATGGCATGTGCTGCGAAAACCACCATAGGTAGGGAGCAGAAAGACCATAGCCACGGATGTATAATTAATATGCAAAGAGTTATTAATAATTTATAATTACTTGTGTCTGTGGACAGGTGTTGAACACAGTTTATTATATAAAATTTAGTAAGTATCTCTCCCAATATACTGGTTATGGCGCATGTGTAGGACGTTACGGGTCTGATAAAACGATTCCAGGCAGTGTGTGGTTGGCCCTTTGGTCAGGGTTGGCCAGTTTGGCTACCCAGCACTCTCGAGTAGAGGCGGCGTGTTAGTGATGTGACCGGAAGTGCAAGTCGAAATGGTCATTGTCAGGTCTCATTGGTTGTGAGCGAAGGATCACATATTGACTGAAAGTGGTATGAGGAGGCTGAATAAAAAGAGACGGCCAAATAGCTTTCATTCCATACAGGACCTCGATGCAGGACGTGTGAACCTGGTGTGGACTCACCTGGGTTAGCTGAGTATTGGTTGGACATGTCCAGCTGGTCGCGACTCACCTCACATTCACCGAGCAGCAAGCCGACGTCCTCTGGTGAATGCTGTGAGTTGGGTTTCTTGTGAGTATGAGTGACTAACATTTGGCTGGTAATTTGAGAGAGAGTTAAGGTACGATGCTACCTTTGTCTATTCTGACCCCCAAACCCCCGATACACTAAATAATACTGTCAACAGTGAATAAAAAAAAGTTCATTCGTGGATGTCAACCAACTAACTTACTCAAAACAAAAAAAAACCTTCTACATTTTATTTGGTAGTAAATTATTAAATCAGATCCAACTTCAGATAGACAATGTTAACATTACCAATAAAAATTAGTGAAAGTTCCTGGGCCTATATATAGACTAGAGACTCAACTTCAGCTCCCATATACAACACATTGCCAAAAATGTTTAGAAAACGGTCGGTATACTTTCTAAAATCAGATATTATGTTCCCCACTCTGCTCTACTCTCATTATACTACGCACTAATCTATCCCTATCTAACGTACAGTATCTGTGCATAGGGTTCAACCGCTGCAAATTACCATAAGCCTATCATCACTCGGCAAAAATCTGCTATCAGAACTATAACAAACTCTGTCTTCAGACAACACACAGCCCCTCTATTTAAGTCCCTTAACCTGCTAAACCTACACTCCACCCATTCTCATGTGCTATCTACATGTACAAAATCCTGTTCCTAACTGCTAATCTTGATCTTAAATGTTTCCTTAATAGTTATTGTGTAATAGAACCCATGAGCACCACACCAGAAATAAATCTCTCTTTGATATCCCCAGAGTCAGACTTAATCTGTACAAACACTCCATGCAAATAAAAAGGCTCAGTCTTTGGAACTAACTCCCCGGTGAAATAAAGAATTATCCAGCCTATGCAATGTTCAAAAGTAAAACCAAAAAGTACCTAATTTCATCCTCATAGTTTCCTACCCTGTGCTTCAACCTCACACTGTATCTTGAACTACCCACTTCCTCAATATTAGTACTTAAGACATATATCCTTACCAGTGTAACCACCTCTGTCAACTTATGTTGTAGATATTTGTTGATATAAAAACCTTGCTACAATGTACTCTTTCATCTTACCTGATATGTTAGGTTAAGGACCGTTCCAAAACGCATTGCGTGTTAGTGGCTTTGTATGAATGTAAACATAGCAAGCTTATGTAATCTCACGAACCATTGTACCTTCTCGTGAATAAATCATTATTATTATTATTATTATTATTATTATTATTATTATTATTATTATTATTATTATTTATTATTATTATTATTATTATAAAGGCTTGGGACGCCACTGAAGCATGAGTGGACGAAGGGATAAATGAGAATTGGCAGGAATTTTTTCTAACTGAATTTAACTAATTACTTCTGGTCTGTGAAATTGATAAAGCATGCTCGGGCTGCTTGCGCTACGGCTTCAGAGCCCAGAACCCAAGGCGATCAGGTTCTAGCATTATGGCCAATTTTTGGTTAAATAATTTCGCCGCAGATTTAGGTACATATCGTCGGAATGTGTTGCAAACAGAAATTGACCAGTTAAAGATTCTGTTCTAATAGTAATTTCCTGAGTATCACTGCTGTCGTACAGAGCTGTACAGTATTTGGGTGTATGTTTTTGTAAAGTTCATGCTGTGGTGGAGTTTCTGGGGGCAACTGTCTCCCCGCTGTAATAACTGTAATTGTACCCATTATATTGCACACTTTTTTGTGTGTATAATTTGTGGATTTTTTGTTCGAGGAGGAACGCGAACTATGTTGTTTTTTCTGAAAAAATTATTAGGAGCCCTTATTAATGAAGCTGCTAGTGTCTCGTCCATCTTTGATAAACTGCTGAATGACAAGAGAGTGTGCCATACTGTTATGATTTTTGGAGCATCTTTTATCTGTAATTGATAGTAATTTTTGGGTATTTTATAATATCTCTGGTGTATAACTATTCCTTTTATCAAATTAAGTTCTATTCTTTTATTGTAAATAAATTACGAGTAATATAAATTTAAGCTACGAGGGTTAATCTTAGTGTTCGAAGATCCACTAAAATCATTAACATGAGGGAAGAACAGAAGCTTCCTGCTATCCTTGAGAGAGTCAACATGTCTTCCAGCATTAAAGTCACATGAACACACCAGTACTGATTAGTGACAAACACTTTTGCGTGCGCAATACTTCAATATTTTCTCTATATATGATAACTTATTGAGTAAAATATATCATTATTATATTTATGCAAAATTATATACATAAAGACAGGCATCACCAGAAGAGTAATAAGAACCTCGTTCCTATACAACAAGTTACACTTCACACAACTGTTTCCACTTAAAACAAATCTGAGGTTTCACGAGCACTATGTTTAACAGTCTCCGTGGTGTAGTGGTAAGACACTCGCCTGGCGTTCCGCGAGCGCTATGTCATGGGTTCGTATCCTGGCCGGGGAGGATTTACTGGGCGCAATTCCTTAACTGTAGCCTCTGTTTAACGCAACAGTAAAATGTGTACTTGGGTGAAAAAACGATTCTTCGCGGCAGGGGATCGTATTCCAGGGACCATAGGATTAAGGACTTGCCCGAAACGCTACGCGTACTAGTGGCTCTACAAGAATGTAACAACTCTTGTATATATCTCAAAAAAAAAAAAAATATTGATGCAATTTGGAACTAGAAGGCGTCATTGATATAATACATGTACACACATTACCAGTGTCGGCCATATAAATGCCGGTGTATCGTAGTATGGGCGCACCTCTGTGTATATGTCTTTATCTCACTCACCTTAGTATCGTTGAAGTAGGAAAGACAACACTGGTGTCCACAGCAACATTCACTCGCCTTATATACTTGTCTGGGAGGAGGAGGAGCAGTCCAACACGATTTTTGGCCAGACTAATATTTTTATTTATCAAATGAACTATCTTTAAATCATTTTTTATGTTATTATATTATAAATACATTTTTCCAGAACTTCAACACTCAGACTAGATAGATGTTAACGATAATGTAACTCAATGATAATTGCAAGACAGTATATAGAGTCATTGGCAATGGTGGAGAAAGGTGTTGTGGCAGAGGTCATGACCTGGTCAGTCACGATCCTGGCATTGACAGGGACAGGAAGCCTGTTGGGATAATCAAGATCCCTCCAGGAAAACGACTGACCTTCTTTAGGATGCAACTCTCTGAACCACGGGCCGAAGCATCTCTGTCCAGAAAGGGAATCGAACCGGGGACCTGACAGTTGTGAGCCCACTGCACTGATCACTCCATTACTATAACGCGATAAACGATTGTTGCATACATGCGTTAGTGTCGTAAATGTAGGAAGTTAATTATTGGGACAAACTTGCCTCAACATCAGTAAAATTTGTCTCCAACTGACTGAATGATATGTCTGAGGGAAGGATGTCTGAATGTGTCACTGGCATGTTATTACTCTTTGAATTCTGGAGACCCCTGCTCATCCCATACTCCAGGCCATTCCCTCTGCCAATTTAGGTGAGACTAGCCACGAGCGGATGGCAGCCCCAAAGTAGGAAGGGCACACGGTTGGCGCTAGCATCACACAAATTAGCAGAATGAATGGTCTGGGGTACGGGATGAACATAGGTTGGTCGAGGTCGCCAAAATTCAAAAGGGAACAGCGTGCTAGTTCCCTTTTCAGCACCCACGACGATTTTTTGGCACTGCCAGACACATTCACAGATAAATATTTTCTATTTTTGATTTTCAAACTAATTTGATTTTCCTATAGTGATATGCACTATTATTCACTGATCTTGGAAAAATTAACAGAAATTTCCGGCTTTCAATAATTTGCCCGAACTCGCATAAAACAGACGGTCTTTACACAGCGACAAGGGGTTCCTCAAGCTAAGGCGCTTTGCCAGAGTAAAGGGAACCATTCTTTTTTAGCATTTCACGCCGCTAAGTTCTCACTGCCGACCATGCCGGCAGATAAGTAGAGATAGATAATGGCAGAGATAGACACACACACACAGACAGAACGAGATAAAGATAGTCAGAGAAAGAAGCAGATAGCCAGAGACAAAGACTGAGGAAGAAACAGAGACAGACAATAGAAATATGGATTGATGAATAGATGGATAGGTGGATGGATAAATTAATAAGTAGATGGAAAGATAGATGGTTGGATAGAAAGACGAGAAGTTACATGGATAATTAGATGGATTGAAACTGAGAGAAATAGATGGACGCACAGATGGATAGATTGACCGATGGATGGATAGATAGATGTATGGATAGATAGACGGATGGATACATAGATGGAAGGATAAATAGAATGATAAATGTAAAGTGATAAACGTATCCATATATCCGTATATATGGATACGATAAGGTATGTGGAGTAATGAATGGATAGATAAAGATATATATATATATATATATATATATATATATATATATATATATATATATATATATATATATATATATATATATATATATATATATATATATATATATATATATATATATATATATGGGTAGATGGTTGGATAGGTAGATGGAGGGATGTATATATGGATAAATAAATGGAAAGATAGATGGAGGGACAGTTAGATAGATGGGAAGGGAAAGGAACTATCAGGAAAAAGTGCCATACCATGGCGACTATACAGCACTTGGAGGGGGTCAGGATAAGGATTTGGGATGGACGGGGGGAAAGGAATGGTGCCCAACCACTTGGACGGTCGGGAATTGACAGATGGATGGATAGAAAGGTAAATTTAGAAGGATGGATAGATATATGTATGCATGGATTTATTAATAAGCAGATGGATGGATAGATTAGGTAGCTCAAGCTATTATCACCCCGTTCAGTACAACGTGTTCATATATATATATATATATATATATATATATATATATATATATATATATATATATATATATATATATATGTCGTACCTAGTAGCCAGAACGCACTTCTCAGCCTACTATGCAAGGCCCAATTTGCCTAGTAAGCCAATTTTTCATGAAATAATTGTTTTTCGACTACCTAACCTACCTAACCTAACCTAACCTAACTTTTTCGGCTACCTAACCTAACCTAACCTATAAAGATAGGTTAGGTTAGGTTAGGTAGGGTTGGTTAGGTTCGGTCATATATCTTCGTTATTTTTAACTCCAATAAAAAAAATTGACCTCATACGTAATGAAATGGGTAGCTTTATCATTTCATAAGAAAAAAATAGAGAAAATATATTAATTCAGGAAAACTTGGCTTATTAGGCAAATCGGGCCTTGCATAGTAGGCATAGAAGTGCGTTCTGGCTACTAGGTACGACATATATATATATATATATATATATATATATATATATATATATATATATATATATATATATATATATATATATTATAATATAGGGGGTACCGCCTCTGCTTATTTGTAAGGACCCATTAGCCTCGAAGAAGACGATATGCAGCACCCGGAAGAGCCTTGCCAGGCTCTCATGTGCACTGGCACATATTGTCTTCTCCTACCATCCTCTTATATACTTTTATATATACGGGGATGGTAGGGGTTTTTTTACAGAAATGTGGCCTTAACATATACACAACACACACACACACACACACACACACACACACACACACACACACACACACACACACACACACACACATCTTCAGAAGGAGTGCTTCTGAAGATGTATTAATCCTTCTAAAGATGTATTAATATACAAGGGGAACACGCACAAGGGGACACAGGTGGAAATTGAGTGCCCAAATGAGCCACAGAAATAATAGAAAGAACTTTTTTAGTGTCAGAGTGGTTGACAAATGGAATGCATTAGGAAGTTATGTGTTGGAGGCTGACTCCATACACAGTTTCAAATGTAGATATGACAGCCCGATAGGCTCAGGAATCTGTACACCTGTTGATTGACGGTTGAGAGGCGGGACCAAAGAGCCAGAGCTCAACCCCCGCAAAGACAACTAGGTGAGTAACTAGGTGAGTACACACACACACACACACATATATATATATATATATATATATATATATATATATATATATGTCGTACCTAGTAGCCAGAACTCACTTCTCAGCCTACTATTCAAGGCCCGATTTGCCTAATAAGCCAAGTTTTCCTGAATTAATATATTTACTATATTTTTTTCTTATGAAATGATAAAGCAACCCTTTTCTCTATGTATGAGGTCATTTTTTTTTATTGGAGTTAAAATTAACGTAGATATATGACCGAACCTAACCAACCTACCTAACCTAACCTAACCTATATTTATAGGTAAGGTTAGGTTAGGTAGCCAAAAAAAGCTAGGTTAGGTTAGGTTAGGTAGGTTAGGTAGACGAAAAACATTAATTCATGAAAACTTGGCTTATTAGGCAAATCGGGCCTTGAATAGTAGGCTGAGAAGTGTGTTCTGGCTATTAGGTACGACATATATATATATATATATATATATATATATATATATATATATATATATATGTCGTACCTAGTAGCCAGAACTCACTTCTCAGCCTACTATTCAAGGCCCGATTTGCCTAATAAGCCAAGTTTTCCTGAATTAATATATTTACTATAATTTTTTTCTTATGAAATGATAAAGCAACCCTTTTCTCTATGTATGAGGTCAATTTTTTTTTATTGGAGTTAAAATTAACGTAGATATATGACCGAACCTAACCAACCCTACCTAACCTAACCTAACCTATATTTATAGGTAAGGTTAGGTTAGGTAGCCAAAAAAGCTAGGTTAGGTTAGGTTAGGTAGGTTAGGTAGACGAAAAAACATTAATTCATGAAAACTTGGCTTATTAGGCAAATCGGGCCTTGAATAGTAGGCTGAGAAGTGCGTTCTGGCTACTAGGTACGACATATATATATATATATATATATATATATATGTCGTACCTAGTAGCCAGAACGCACTTCTCAGCCTACTATGCAAGGCCCGATTTGCCTAATAAGCCAAGTTTTCCTGAATTATTATATTTTCTCTAATTTTTTTCTTATGAAATGATAAAGCTACCCATTTCATTATATATGAGATCAATTTTTTTTATTGGAGTTAAAATTAACGTAGATATATGACCAAACCTAACTAACACTACCTAACCTAACCTAATCTATCTTTATAGGTTAGGTTAGGTGAGGTAGCAGAAAAAGTTAGGTTAGGTTAGGTTAGGTAGGTTAGGTAGTCGAAAAACAATTAATTCATGAAAACTTGGCTTATTAGGCAAATCGGGCCTTGCATAGTAGGCTGAGAAGTGCGTTCTGGCTACTAGGTACGACATATATATATATATATATATATATATATATATATATATATATATATATATATATATATATATATATATATATATATATATATATATATATATATATATATTGTGTGTGTGTGTGTGTGTATCACGAAAAAAACATGTGATTAAAAATGTGACAATGTCAGACCACGGAGGAAAAATGAAACAGGAATTTCCTTAAGTACTTTCGTATATTAATACATCTTCAGAAGGAGTGCTTCTGAAGATGTATTAATCCTTCTGAAGATGTATTAATATACGAAAGTACTTAAGGAAATTCCTGTTTCATTTTTCCTCCGTGGTCTGACATTGTCACATTTTTAATCACGTGTTTATTTTCGTGATACACACACACACACACACACACACACACACACACACACATATATATATATATATATATATATATATATATATATATATATATATATATATATATATATATATATATATATTGGTGTATACTGGCAGCAGGTTTTCTTTCAAACATGTTTCATTGAA